GGATAGGAGCGACGGAAACGCGTGTAAAAGTCGATCGGTCGCTCTGCTATCGAAGACGTTTCGAAGGCTATTCTCGGTGTGGTTAGGTCGGCTTTAAACAGCGCTCGCCTTTAATGCAGCCCCGTACGAACCCTCGGCCGGGATCTACACTACGCGGGGATGCAGTAAAAATTCCACATCTGAGGGATGGTCCGCGGGAAGACAAGGACAGAAAGGAGGGTGGCCCTGTTCGGAGAGAGAGAGAATGCTAATAGCCAAGGCGCGGAAGGGAACTTTAAGACATCGTTTGTAAGCGGGGAGGGACGAACGTCTAGGCACGGTATTAAATCTATTTCCCCTCTGTTTCCTCCCCGAAGTAACGACGCGCGAGTACCATCAAAGATTCAGTGGCTTTCGAAATCATCCCCGAAATAGATGATACGTACGAGAGAAAATACGAGGCAAGATGCGAGTTAACTACCACCTTTCGCGCCGCCTTCTTGCAATTTGTCCCCCGTGAATATAAAGTAGTTTGTTAATAATAACGCGCGTATGAATGCGGCGGGGCAGAAGGGTAGTTTCCTGTTCTGAGGAATCTTCTTAAGAACCTAGGAAATATCTTTCTTTCTCTCTTGAACTTTTTTTTCTATCTAGATTTTAAAGCACATTAATTTCGCAGAATTTGAAGTGCTACGAAAATTTACCTCTCTGATTTGTGCGTTGAAATAACTGTGTCTTATCGATGCCATTATCGATCGATTTTTTTAAGCAGCATTCATTTTCGCAAAAAAAAAAAAAAAAAAAAAGAAAAGAAAAAGGAAAAACCATCGACGAGTTTTTCCAATGACACGTTTAATACGTCCGGGCACGATCATCGAGCGATATTTTTTTCTCTGTCGCTTGTCGTTTTTACAAGCGTTTCAGATCTTATTTGTTTATCGCTCGCGTTTTAATGAACCAACGGGAGCCGGCCGTTCGCTTCATGGGATTTCCCCCCGGCTAGCTACGGAAATTCGCGCTCGAATTGATACCGTTCCACTTGTTTTTCCACCGCATCACCCGGTATAGTTAACAAAAACAAGAGAGCGGAGTGGCGGCTATAAAACGAGAGCTACGTGCGCGCAAAGTTTGCCGTGGCAGAACGTCGTCCGGCAACGGAGATTCAATTTGACGGAACTGAAATTCTAGCGAAAAGGAAAGCTTGCCACGGCAGCCTGAACAAGAAAAGAAAAACACGTACGTACGTAGCCAGAAACGCGAAAGTATTTCAACTTTTGTCTCGCATCGGAATCGCACAAATTTTGAAATTTGATTGATACAACTGGTGTCATGATTATAGTGGTGCATGAAAGTTATTCGCTACAGAGTGTCCAACGATTTATCAATATCCTATTATAGTGAACAGTTTGATTGTTTAGATCCTTTTTTGTGATTTGTTTTGACCTCTTGCGCTGGGATTTTTTCCTCCCAAAATTGCAATATTTTCTCTATTAGTTTTAAATATATTTAAATATTACCTAGGCAAAACTAATATTAAATTTATTACTTCTTGGTAATAATTTCTATCCGGTGATATTGTACCGACGAGTTCAAAAAGAAAGCGACGAATTATTACGGTTTGATCACTCGTTATGGTTCGTGAACCAGTTGCCAGCGCAAGAGGCAAATATGTTGTATTTTGTTTCAAAATCTCGTGTAAGATTTCACGTAGATGAGTTTCACGTTATGTGCAGCAGGTAGAGGAAAGTAGAGTCAAACCATTGTTTTTCTAAAATTAAAACTTCAATACTCGATCAAATGGTAATAATATTCTAATGGAGCCAACGACATTACGTGACAAGTTTCGGAGCAAACATCATCGTAGTGTTTAGACAGAATTGAAAATTTCGGCTTGAAGAGTTTCCATTTTTTTCACATTCACTAATCCAATTGTATTCTATTCCCCTTGTTATTTACTTTTCTCGTCTTTCTGTCTCACACCGAGGTATAAATATTTAATGTTTAATATTCTAAATTAATGCATTTGGGGCAACAAATGTCGAAGAGGGCGACGAATATTTTTTGTTTGCGATTTTTGTCCCATTAATTAAGATATATCTATATTTGTGTGTTAAAATAATTCAAATTTTTTTTATAAAACACACTAAACTAGAATAAAATAGAATAATTAGAATTATAATATTAATAATAAATAGAATAATTTTATATTTGTTAAAAATATAATTGTTACTATTTTTTAACTAATAAAAATAAAAATTTCATAACTGTATTGCAGTTTATACGTCTTTTTTTTTTTACTCACCCCTGTGGGGCAAAACAGGGGAGGTTTTTTTATACCTCCGAAAAATTTTATTTTCCCACGAGCCAAACAATTTTTCCCCAGAAAGTTTGGTCATTTTCTTATATATATAAGGTCTAATTAATTCTGTATGAACTTTTCTTTTTTGCCATCCGATTTTTTGTCACGGAGATAAACACATTTACCCTACTTTCCCCTAGAATATAATATATTCGTGAAAGAAATTCGAATAATTTCGTGGACTCGATCAGCTCTTCGTTGACTGTATTTATCATAGAGCGTTGCCGATATTTACATTATTATTTATCCAGAATTTAGGCGAAGCAGTGAAGAGTCGAATGGACACAGTGGAATTCACTATTTACAGACAAGGAATCAAAATTCTATTTTAATACGCTTGCCTCGTGTATCGCACGGAAGTCGCAGCAAACCGGCGAGATCAATTTTCGAAATGAAAACGCGGCGCCTGCAGCGTCGTCGAAATGCAAATAGATCGCTAGATCGCTGTTGTAAAACGCGAACTTGGCTTAGTAGAAAACGAAAAGGGGGAAAAGTCCGGAGGGGGTGGACTTATACTTGGTCGCGAACCAATTTTCTATCGGGATTGCAAGCGGAAAGACTACTCTGACAGTTTTCCTCTCGTAAACTAACAAAATTGCAATTGGCGTGCACGACGCGACAAATGAGTACGCGTTCAAACATACATTGGAGAAGTAAGGACGAACGAACCACGAACAGCTTTGGATCTCTCTTTCACGAACGATTAGATCGTCGAATCCATCGAACGCGACCTGTTAACATTGAATGAACGCCTGGTTTAAAGATCTAATTTGAAATTCTGCATTCGTTGCTACTTCGTCTAAACCTACGAGGCGAAACTTTTATACTGTACGTGCTAATTTTTATCTCGAAGTGAGCCTCGATTATAAATAGTAAACATGTGAGAAGGAGGCAAAATAACTTAGTTTTTTGATGTTTGCTCCGGATCAAATTAATTATTTTCGAGGTTATTACCTCTGTCGTAGCGAGAATCATCGAATTCTTTAAATTCCCATCGGTCATTCTCGATCGGTATTTATTTATTCTTAATTAATAAATTAAATTTTTGTGCAAACTTTCTGAGATTTGGGAAAGCCTTGGGTGGTAGAATTCTTCCAAAAATTTGTCAAGTGACGACTTGAAAAACACGGGGGAAGATATCAAAATTTTAAAGAAAACTAAGAGAAATTGATCGTGGCAATATATTGACTGAATATTGAAAATAGTCGGTTGGCCATCGGTGATCTAAAGCTCTACTTAAAAAGATGGAAGTACGTGCAATTATATAATTCGACGATTTGTTTCAAAAGCGTTCTGGAAATTCTTTGTGCCTGTTTCACGTTTTCCCCTTCAGTGTGAACTTCCTTTTATCTACCACTTTCTTTACACGCTTATTATGTCTAAAAGTTACTTTGCCCATTGTTTCCTACATTAACTTGACAATTACCTGCAATAATAATCTCTCTCTCTCTCTCTCTCTC